CCTTTCAAAAAAGTCTACTGGGAAATCGCGATCTGAAGGCTTGGAATGTTCATAGCCTCGAGGATCCCAGGAGATCACTTTAAAGAGCTTGTAATTGAGGTTCGTGAGCTGCGGTCCAGAATCAGTCTCTCCACTTCCCAACATCCCAGGAAGCAGCAGGACTGCGTGATCTCCCTCTCCAGCCTGCTGATAATGCAGATGGACACCATTCACAGCCACTTTGGCAGAGGTTACTGAGGTGCTGAACGCGGCCGCGGGTCCGGCCTGTGGGACGAGGATATCGGGCTTCTGTGCCGAGAGCAGCAGCCGCAGCCGCAGCCCGCTGCCCCGACCGCCCAGCACAGACACCATAGTCAAAGGTCGGGTCGCTGCCGGGAGTGCGCATGCACTGAAACCAAGCGCGGTCGCCGGCCCAAGTGTATTCTTTGATGTTTTCTTTTTGCTATGAACATAGAGTTTTATCAAAAAAAAGGGGCTAACGAGTCCAGGCACGGTGGCTCACGCCTGTAATCCTAGCACTTTGAGGAGGCCAAGGTGGGCGAATCATGAGGTCAGGAGTTCGAGGCCAGCCTGGCCAAATAGTGAAACCCCGTCCCTACTAAAACTACAAAAAATTAGAGGGGCGTAGTGGTGAGCGCCTGTAATTCCAGCTACTCAAGAGGCTGAGGCAAGAGAATCATTTGAACCCGGGAGGCAGAGGTTGCAGTGAGCTGAGATGGTGCCACTGCCCTCCAGCCAGGGCGACAGAGTGAGACTCCATGTCCAAAAAAAAAAAAAAAAAAAGCTAATGATAAAAGTCTCTAGATAAATTTAAAGTGTTTTCCATATAAACATTAATAAACCAGAATTAACCAGAGGTAAAATATTATTAGATAAGTAATTTAAATATGTGATCTTGTCCCAGTTACACTAATAGCAGGGTCACCTCAAACAAATATCTCAGCAGCAGTTTACTCAGCTGTAAAATAGGAAAAGAAATGGTTGCCAATCTACCTCACAGTGTTGTTGTGAAAAATCAAATAAAAGTATATTTAAATGTTTTGAAAAGTGTGAAATACTACAAAAATGAATGATGGAGTAATCAGTATTATCACTAAAGCAATTAAAAATAAAAATGTTGGTTTGATTCAGAATGGGAGAAAATATTTGCAAACTACAGATCTGACAAAGGTCTAATATCCAGCATCTATGAGGAATTTAAACAAGTAATCCCATTAAAAAGTGGACAAAGGACATGAACACTTTTTAAAAGAAGATATACCTGTACATGCAGCCAACAAGCATATGAAAGAAAGCTCAATCACGGATCATTAGAGAAACGCAAATCAAAACCATAATGAGATACCATCTCACACCAGTCAGAATGGCTATTATCAAAAAGTCAAAAAATAACAAATGCTGGAAAGGCTATAGAGAAAAAGGAATGCTTATACACTGTTAGTGGGAGTGTAAATTAGTTCAACCATTGTGGAAAGTAGTATGGCAATTCCTCAAAGAGCTAAAAGCAGAATTACCCTTTGACTCAGCAATCCTATTACTGGACATACACCCAGAGAAATGGAAATCATTCTACCATAAAGACACATGCACGTGAATGTTCGTAGCAGCACTATTCACAATAGCAAAGGCATGGAATCAACTTAAATGCCCATCAATGACAGACTTGTATAAAGAAAATGTGATATATATATATATATATGTATATATATATAGACACACACATATACCATGGAATACTATGCAACCATAAAAAAGAATGAGGTCATGTCTTTTGTGGGGACACAGATGGAGCTACAGAGGCTACTATCCTTAGCAAACTAATGCAGGAACAGAAAACCAAATACCACTGTTAAGTGGGAGCTAAATAATCAGAACTCATGAACACAAAGAAAGAAACAACAGACAATGGGGCCTACTGGAGGGTGGAGAGTGGGAGGAGGGAGAGGCGCAGGAAAAATAACTATTGGGTACTAGGTTTAGTATCTGGGTGATAAAATAATCTGTACAACCAGCCCCCGTGACACGAGTTTACCTATATAACAAACCTGCACATGTACAAAAGTTAAAAAAGAAAAAGAAGTCAGAGCAGTGGTGTCTCTAGGAAAAGCACATAAACTAGGACAAGGCACAAGGAAGCTTGCTGAGGTGTTGAAATGTTCTTTGCCTTGATCTCAGTGATGGCTATATGGGTGTAGACATGTAAAAATCCATTGAACTGCACATATAAAATTTGTGGACATTATCATATGTAAGTCATAGGGTATACACAAAATGTTAAGATACAATGTATCTGGTATGTAGTAAATGCGCAATAAATATTAGAACCTTTCCTTGAAAATGTTGATCTCGTAATTGATTTTTGCAATGTTATACTCATGTAATGAATAGTTTATAATCATGTCCTATGTATGATTTTCTTCAATGTTGAAATAGAAATGGTGGCATGGAATGCAAATCTATGAACCTCTGGCCTAGAAATCCTATAATACATAGCAAAACTCTTAACCAGGCCAATGGAAAGATTAAGCAATTAATTATGAAGCTTCATCTGATGGACACTACTATCTCAAATAACACTGTCTTCCCTCTCCTTCAAACAGGCATTCAGGGTGCATGAAATTCTTATGCCTGTTTGAAGGAGAGGGATTCATAACCTTAGCATAAGAACTTGACGACTCATATTAGAACACAAGTAAGTGTGTGAATATTTGGTAATACAAATTATCATCTATTAGTATCATATTGATAATTATTGGATAAGCTAGTGACTCATCTAGCAAGAAGAAAGGGAAAAAGCACCCATTCTTTTCTAAATTTAAATATCTTGAAAAGTTGTAAGGTTGAGAGGGTAAGAGAAGGAAGGGAGAGGAACATAAAATGAAGCTCAGACTAAGAGAACCACTACAGCATGAAACTGGTAAGGGGGCAGGGAGGATGAAGACAGAAAAACCAAAAGGGCAATCCTTGTCATGTTTACAATTTTGTGTAGGGCTAGCCTGACTCGAAAGGAATAGCAATATATTTGCCAGGATAACTATATATTTAGTTCACTGATCAACCATAATGCTTATTTTTGATTGAAGAGTCCACTTACATGTTTTTGAAACCAGCATAATAACAATATATAAATTTCCTCCAAGAGGAGTCTCCTTGCTAGTTGAGCTATGGAAATGAAATTGGGAATTTTATGATCTTCCCTCCTCCTCTTCACTTGCATAATTGGCTACTTATATAACAATACACCTCTTACCTCACACTACAGCACTAATTACGAAAGCCTGTTTAAATCTAGCCACCTGTCTTTTGTTTTGCTGCCTACCTGGGCCTTTTTCAAGCAGGCAGAAAAATCTCCTATCAGTCTGTTATCATAACCGGAATGCAAGAGATTAGTGACCAGGGAGAGAAGCAGAATCAGTTTACATCCTTTCAGGCAAGAGAATAGTATTACTTCACAAGCAAGAAATCTGGGGCCCCTGATCTTAATTTAGAAAACCTGCAATTAATAATCATGTTAAAGTTAGTTTTACATGCAAGAGAGCTTTTGTTTCCTCTGTTATTTTTACAATCCAACTGTCCTTTGTGATTACCAAAATTATTTGCTGAAAGGCATATATTAACATTTAAAATATTTAATCCATAATAAAGTAGGTCTTACAGTTTAGGTATATTTGAAGTAAAATAAACTCTGTGTCAACTTTTTTAAAAGCTTAAAAAAACATTGCTTGTATTTATCCAGAGTACAATTTAGCAATCTAACTCTGCTAATTATGACAATTAATATACTTAAGTTCTTTCTTAATTGAGGAATAAAATAGGTTTTTAACTGTAATCCGACAACCCAAATAAAGAATCATATAAATCCCACCACTGGCACACACACACCTCTCTCCCTAAAAGGTCAATTGTTTCTTGAAGTAAAGAGAACTAAGCCTGAAGCTACAAATTTGGCAAGGAAACAGGGTCAAAAAACAGCTGTGCAAAGCCACAAAGAACTAGTCAGGTGATCAGGTCAGTATGCAGAGGTTCTGATGACACCCAATTGAACCTGGCTTCTTTTTCATAATCGAATACTTAATGAAAACAAATCTAATTAACACCATAAGCTAAAAAGAGGCACAAGTGGTCTTTTTAAACTGTGGTTAACTTTCACTTAACATTATACTAGAGAAACAATATTAGCTGAACCATTTCAGCTGTTTCAATGTGATTTACAAGTCATACGTGTGTGTTACTAAAATGAGTCTATAGACACCTGTTCTCTTTTACAGAGTGATTCTGTGTGTGTGTGTGTGTGTGTGTGTGTGTGTATGTATGTGTGCATGTGCATGTGTTGGGGGATGGGAGAATTACTGAAATGAATAGTCCAGCCATGGAGATGATGCTTATAAAATGAAAATACAGTGTGAGTCTACATATATACTGACAGAAAAGTTATAATGGCATTTTTTGGTGCAACAGAAGTTTAGATGTATTACATATTTATTTCCAAGGTACCTTTGATATTATGAAAACAGAACTAATACTTGACCAAAAAAACAAAACAAAACAAAACAAAACAAAAAACAAACAAACAAAAAAACCCCAAAATAAAAAACTACTGCAATGTCAGGTTTTCCACTGCCATGATAAAGGAAAAAAATATCTATTGCAGACATGGAATCAGTCTCCTGTGGGTAAGACTACAGAGGAAAAAAAAGGAAACATATGAGATGAATTTGCAAAAGTTTAAAAAGATGCTTTTGACTTCATCAAGACTAACTCTAGTAAATTAAGTATATACTGGATCTATGAAGTTCTGTTGATTATATCGTGCATTTTCTTGACATTTTTTAAACTTTCATCTTTCTCCTCTTAAAAATACGAATAAAAATTTACCAGGTTTTAATGACAACAAATTAAAATATTGCTTTACTCAGTTTCCTATCTGCCTTTAGCATCAACTGTAGAGCCTTACAGAAATACTATTTTAAAAGTTAAAGGTGGTGCTGTCATCAAAGGAGATAATACATTAGTATTATGATTATTTTTCATTAAGCAATTGAACTAAAAGTTTAGGGTCTTTTTAAACCAATATAACTTTAAAAAATTAGTTTAGTATTTTTGATAATCACTGTATTAATAGGAACTATGTAATTAGAAGGTCATAGTACTTATTAAAATATCAAAAACCATGGAATGTCTTTAATTTTGTCAGATATTTACTGATTTAATTAACTTCTCTTTTTACAAACAACCTTAAAACGGGATAATAAAACATGCCATCCAGTAACATAACATGTTTAGCAGAAGAAAAGTTATCCTACGGTTCTTTTGTAGTCATTCAAGACAAGTGGTCTCCTCATGAAACATAGCCAAAAAAAAAAAAAGTTACAAAATACTACAGCTATTTCCCCCTATGATCAGACTTTAATTCTGAAGCAAAAATACTGCTAAACATCTTATAAAAATTCAGATTGCAGTCTCTGAAATGACTTATACAGTAGTAACAATATTCATATAGATAATTTAAAATTCTCAAAGCAGGTCCATTGCGAAAACAAAACAACACAAAATATGAAACTTGAGTACAGGTCAAATATTCCTAATCCAAAAGCCCAAAATTGCTAAAAAACCTGAAACTTGAGTGCCAACATGACGGATTAGGGATGCGCAACTAGTAATAATTTTTGCAAGCTTCTTTCAAAGTTTATTATGGAAAGTAACAACAGCATTTCTAATAAGCTTTTTTTGGTAGCCATATTTACTAATTATGTTGCAGGTTTTAAAAAATTGACAGTATCAAAAAGGCATAAAGGTATACCTACAGAATTGAAGGGGAAATTTAAATCTTTGCTTTCAGTAACTCTCTAAGTATTTTTGGATCTACAGGATTTATTGAAAGTAAATTTAGTAAAGAGTATGTACTATCCTTTATGAAAATATAAATTTTATATTTTTTCTCAATTTCAATTAAACATTTACTGAGTATTTAGTACATTACACATCAGGCACTGTGCTAGGTGCTTTCTAAAAAATTCTCAGCTCTAAATTTCCTCATTAAAAGCAGCCAAAGTGTTAAGTCAAAACCTTTCCAAGTAAGTAATTTATCTTTTAAATGTTATGTACCAACACACACACACACACACACACACACACACACACACACACACTTTTTCTGTTTAAACTGCTTATCAAATGGATAGTTGCTAACACTGTTGAAACAAAAAGGCCAACGTCCATTTGCATTATGAGAATATTGTGCATTTAATTAATCCAAACCACCTGTCTAAATAGTAATCTCAATCTTTACTTCAAAGTTAAAAAGATCCAGCTGAAATACAACCTTCCTACTTCCGATCAGCTTGAAAACTATTTTTTCCACAGTTAAAGGGGTCACTATAAACACAAAAATTGGCATTGTTTTTGTGTGATTAGGTTACAGTAGCTTAAGTCTCTAAAGGCTAGAATTCCTCACACAGCTGTTAATTGTGGACCAAGGGATTGGCTCACATCTGCTTCTAGCTTATTTCATTAATGGTTCACTTTCAGGTCCTAAAAGGATTGTATCCCCTCCCCAAAGATACTGTGGAACCCAGCTAAGTCTGCTTTCTACATAGCTGACTAGTTCTGGTTTGTCACTCTCCATACAATGCAAATCTCAGTGAACTCACATCTGTCACAGATCGACCCAATTCGTGGGCAATCTTTTCCCATCGACCTGGGGTCCCTCCTGGGAACTTAACCATACTTCTTGTCAGTTGGCTGAGGTCCTCTTCTGTCCATTCAGGTGCCTGCAAAACATTGGAGAAAATAAAAAGAAATAATCGGAAGAATTAAAAAAAGATAACCGCAACATAATTGCTGTGAAGCAAATTATTGGCAATATGCTTTCTGTAAAAAAAAATACTAAATTGTATCTAATAGTTGCAATAAAGATTTGAGCTGCATATTTAACATTGGAATGTAAAGCTCCAGAAGGCTATTTCATTTTCCTTTGTATACCAACTAAGAAAGCATAAATATTGCAAAACCAGGCTTTTGTAGACATTTTTAAAAAACATTCTGTTTTGAATTAAACTGAAAAAACCATTCTCAGAGCTTATGAAATGCATCCTTGCTATAAAATGCAGTGCTGCTCATAAATGCCTCACATAAAGTTACTATTAAAGGTTTTGTTTCTTTTACTTAAAAAAAAAATACATACTTTAAAGAAAGCAAAAAAAAAATCTTACAAGTATAAATGAAATGTGAACAAGTAATGTACTGGTCTAAAATCTGAACTGAGACAAAACATCTTTTCATCATTCTATGTAACAATATTCAATTTTTAAATAATATTATTTTCAAGAAGTTTAGCTTGTCAGATGCCACTAGTATTTTTTAAAACTTGGGAACAGAAATAAAATTAGAAACTCTTGTGGCCAAGACTCAAACCATCAAGTCCATGTAAAGCAATATTTCACTTCATTCTGACCATTTCATTTTGGTCAACTTTTATCTTTGAACAAATTATTAAACTAAATTTAAAAATACCTTAGAGATTATAAACACACATATGCAAAAATTCTAACAGCAAACATACTCTCTGCATTTTACTCAGCACTATCAGTGGTCAAACTCCAAAATAAGCACAGCAAAAGAAATTATTATCTAATGACAAATAACGATGTTACAATTATTTCACATTACATTTTAGTACTAAACTATACCCCACTAGAGGCAATAAACCATTCTGGTATTAAACAATACTCCAGTAAAGCAGAGAGATTGAGGAAACCTACCTTATTTTCCTTTAATTAAAATGAAAGAAAAAGAAAGAGAGAAAGAAGGAAACCTTCGAGACAAATACCTTTTCTAATCACCATTTCCGATAATGAACAGGCATACATCAGGCAGTTTGCATTACAGAACCATCAGCACAGAACAACAGTCAGAGGTGAGTGACCCCAGGGACTATCTCCACAGCTACAGCAAAGCTTCTCCCTGACACTAATCCTCCCTGTCATTCTCCCACTGTGCTCTAACCACACTGACATCCGCCTGCCTCACTGCAAGCTTAACGGGGCCCTTCCTGACTTTTTACTGTCTCCCCCAATCAATGGTTCAAGCGTGCTCTTTTCACCATGTCCAAATGGCAGCTTCACTCATAATCAAAGTGCACTGCCCCTGTTAAAGGGCTTTCCGAAAGGCTCTCCTATTTGCATTCATTTGCAAAGCAAACTACTTTTATTCACTTTGTTCTGCTATCAAGAATGTTCCCTGAAGCAGATAAATTGGCATAAATACAACCTGCCACTTAAGAGTCAGTAAATAATAGCCAATAGTAGGGAGGATTTTATCAATCATTCTATTTTGTATCCACTAAGAGCTGAAAGCCTTAAACATATTCATCAGTACAGCCCCTGTAATACATGCATAAATTCACTTATATAAAAAGGTAGCCCACATTGGGTCTGGGTTGGAATTTCTTTGATATTTAATGAATATCAGAAATCTAATTCTTCATATCAGATGACTTAAAAATTTACACGGAGGGTTTTTTCTTTTTCCTTGTCTTTATTTAAGGAGAAAAGTATTATTCTTATTCAGCTACTATTTAGAAGAATATAATTGGATTTTCAAGGAAATCATAGTATTATTGCTAAAAGCTTTAATAAGTAGACCAATTGGTTTCAGAAATTCAAAAGACTTAAGTTTTAGACAGAATTTAAATAAGCTTACCATATAGCATTTACAAATTCACACTAAATCAAATTATCTAATTTCTATGTTATTTTAACATTTTTAGAGCAAAAAAAATTGCCTAAAATGTTAAAAAAGATAGATCATTGTTTCTTTATTTTTATTTATTTATTTATTTTTTTGAGACGGAGTTTCGCTCTTGTTACCCAGGCTGGAGTGCAATGGCCCGATCTCAGCTCACCGCAACCTCCGCTTCCTGGCTTCAGGCAATTCTCCTGCCTCAGCCTCCTGAGTAGCTGGGATTACAGGTGTGCGCCACCATGCCCAGCTATTTTTTTGTATTTTTAGTAGAGATGGGTGTCACCATGTTGACCAGGATGGTCTCAATCTCTTGACCTCGTGATCCACCCGCCTCGGCCTCCCAAAGTGCTGGGATTACAGGCTTGAGCCACTGCGCCCGGCCAAATCATTGTTTCATATAGTAAACTAAGTCTTTAAAATAATTCCTATTTTTAATAGATCTGTTTTCCAAATACTCTGCATACATAAACACTGGCATTAAAAACAAATCTAATTTTATTTAGATTAATGAGAATCAAAGTATAGTACTACATTTTTTTCTGAAAAATAAAAATTTTATATAAAGTATTTGGATTGAATTCCTGAAAAATCACCTACTGCCATGACAGTTTTAAGTTTCATAGTTATTTTATGGCCATATTTTTTATTATTAACATTTTTGAAGAAGCTCGATAGTGACTAGGTCCATAATCTGAAATCTAAGAGAACCCTTTTAGCAATGCATTATTCTCCCTCCTACAGTTGTAAGGCACTTTGGTGAATGTGTAATTCCTCGGCAATAGTTAGTTGTGTCTTTAGAAGCAACAGAGCCTACTGTGATCCAGCTACTACAGCAGCCATGAGGGTGGCCATGGTGTGAATGTATTCTCCCTGTTCTAATCTGGAGCCAACTGTAGCTGTGAAAGTCAAATGAATGCATAAGCACACTGCTTTGCCACTTAAAACCATGTGTGTCCAATAATACCGAAACACTGGGCCAAATATCCATCTCTACAGTAAAGTAATGGAAGATACCACATGGTGTGGGGACAGCTGTTGGTTGTGACTACACAAGCATTCCAATTTTGCATCAGAAAAGCCCATTCTGGGAATAAATCTCCATACTGAATACAAAATAAAAGTTTTCAAATTATTCAATATTTTAATGTAATGACCTCAAAATATAGCAGCCGAAGTAAGAACTGATATGAAAACTTAAGTTATTCCCAAATAATGTACTTTGTAATGGATTTTTGCCATAAAACCCACTGTGCTTTATTTGGTGTCTTT